GGGAGGAGAAGTGCAGGGTGAGCCCCTCCCTATGACCCCAAACCCACTTGGGGGGGGTCTGTGGGGTGAGCCCCTGTCCGTGTCACCCCAAACCCCACACCCACCCCAGGGGGTCTGCGGGGTGAGCCTTCCCTGTGACCCCAAACCCATCCGGGGGGGTCTGCAGGGTGAGCTCCTCCCCATGACCCTAAACGCCAAACCCGCCCAGGGGTTCTGTGGGGTGAGCCCCTCCCCATGACCCCAAACCCACCCGGGAGGGTCTGCGGGGTGAGCCCTCCCTGTGACCCCAAACCCCAAACCCATCCGGGGGAGTCTGCAGGGTGAGCCCCTCCCCATCACCCCAAACCTACCCGGGGGGGGGGGTTGAGGGGTGAGCCCCTCCCTGTGACCCCAAACCCACCCGGGGCAGTCTGTGGGGTGAGCCCTTGTCCCTGTGACCCTAAACCCACCCGGGGGGGTCTGTGGGGTGAACCCTTGTCCCTGTGACCCCAAACCCACCCGGGGGGGTCTGCAGGCCACCAACCCAGCCCGGGGTGTCCCCCCTCGCTGTCCCCTCCCAGGTGCCCTTCACGGACCTGCTGGACGCGGCCAAGAGCGTGGTGAAGGCGCTGCTGCTGCGCCAGAAGTACATGGGGCTGTCGCTGCAGAGCTTCTGCCGCACCACGGCCCGGTTCCTGCGGGAATTCTCCGGGAAAAACCCCGAGAGCCGCGCCCACGACGACCCGCCCGAGACCCCCGTGGCTGCTGGTGAGGGGGGGAGGAGGTTGTGGGGGTCTTGGAGAAGTTTGGGGGGTTTTGGAGGAGTTTTTGGGGGTTTTGGAAGAGTTTTTGAGGTTTTTGAGGTTCTGGGGTTTTGGAGGAGGTTTTGGAGGAGTTTGGGGGGTTTTGGGGTTTTGGAGGAGGTTTTGGGGTGCTCTGGGGTGATGTGGAGCTCCCTGAGAAGCCCCTCAGCACCCCCATGGCTGCTGGTGAGGGCAGGGAGGGGGTCTCGGGGCCGCCGTGGGTGGCTGGAGGAGTTTGGGGGGGGGTTGGAGGAGTTTTGGGGTTTTGGAGGAGTTTTTGAGGTTTTGGGGTTTTGGAGAAGTTTTTAAGGTTTTGGGGCTCTGGATGAGTTTTTGAGGGTTTTGGAGGCGATTTTGAGGGTTTTGGAGGAGTTTTGAGGGTTTTGGAGGAGGTTTTGGGGTGCTCTGGGGTGATGTTGAGCTCCCTGAGAAGCCCCTTGAGACTCGTGGTTATGAGGAGGTGCCCGAGATCCCCGTAGCTGCTGGTGGGTGCAGGGAGAGGGTCTTGGGTCTTGGTGCTGGGATGGGGGTCTGGAGGAGTTTTTGGGGGTTTTGGAGGAGTTTTTGAGGTTTTGGGGCTCTGGATGAGTTTTTGAGGGTTTTGGAGGAGGTTTTGGGGTGCTGTTGAGCTCCCTGAGAAACCCCTCAAGACTCGTGGTTATGAGGAGGTGCCTGAGACCCCTGTAGCTGCTGATGGGTGCAGGGTGGGGGTCTTGGTGCTTGGATGGGGGGTCTGTGGAGTACCCCCATGTTTTGGGGCACTGTGGGGTGACAAGGAGGGTCTGTGGGGTGCCCTCATGTTTTGGGGCGCTGTGGGGGTCTGTGGGGTGCCCCCATGTTTTGGGGCGCTGTGGGGTGACAAGGAGGGTCTGTGGGGTGCCCCCATGTTTTGGGGCGCTGTGGGGTGACGGGGGGGGTCTGTGGCCGCAGATGCCCCCGTGCACCCCCCCTTTGCTGAGCGCCACCCCTACGAGACGTGGGACCCCCGGGAGATGCCCGAGGACCTGGGCTACGGGCTGCGCATGGTGGACGGGGTCGTGCACGTCTACACCAGCCAGGACCCCACGGACAAGTGAGGCCGGGGGGGTTTGGGGGTCCCGCTCGGCCCTGGGGGGGGTCGGGGCTGTGGGACCCCCAGCTGTGTGTGTGTCCCCCCCCAGGAGCACCGAGCTGGACCTGCCCTACCCCGACCTGCAGGAGTTCATCGCTGACATGAACTTCCTCATGGCCCTCATCATCAACGGGCCCATGTGAGGGCAAAGGGGGCAAAGGGGGGCATAAATGGGGACATCGGGGGGTCAGGGGTGGGGACACCAAGGGGGCATAAATGGGGACACCAGTGGGGTCATAAATGGGGACAAAAGGGGACAC